CCTTCTCCTCCTCCTCCTCCTCCTCTCTCATCCTCCTCCTCCTCCTCCTCCTCCTCATCCTCCTCCTCCTCCTCCTCCTCCTCCTCCGTCGACATCGGGGACCAATTACTTTGTTTCGTCCGTCGGCATCCTCCTCCACCCCCTCCACCACTCCACGCGGCACCAGGCTCCAGAGGCGCACCCCGCGGAGGCGCCGAAGCCGCGAACAACACAAGCCTGTCATGGTTTTTCACCAGCGTCGCTTCGAGGTCTGGGTCGGGCCTGGCCAGCTCGGCAAGCAGAAGGTCGGCAGAGGGTCCGCGGGGGGGTCGGGGTGAAACGACAAGGGACTCCGGAGCGGCTTTGCCGCCCAGGTGGGGGGGGCTGCGGGCACGCTCGACACCGCTGGGGCCTCCACACATTACATCTCCCGCACGCTTCTGCTTGGGAGAGGGCGGGAGAAGACATGTCAACAGCTGCCTCTTCCGAGAGAAGGACCAGGAGAAGCAGGACGAGGAGGAGGAGGACGAGGAGAAGGAGGAGGAGGAGGAGGGGGAGGAGGAGGAGGAGCAGGAGGAGGAGGAGGAGGAGGGGAGGAGGGGAGGAGGAGGAGGAGGAGGAGGAGGAGGAGGAGGAGGAGGAGGTTCGTCTGTCACTAGCCGTGGCGCGGCCCCGCTCTGCCTGAGAGGTCACGCGCCGCCGAGGGCAGCGCGCTCCTTGCTGTGGGAGATCGGGATGCGGTCGTCTCTCGTCACGTGGCAGACGCGGGTGGCCACTCCTCCTCCTCCTCCTCCTCCTCCTCCTCTCTCCTCCTCCTCCTCCTCCTCCCTCCTTCTTCCTCCTCCCTCCCTCCCTCCCTCCCTCCCTCCCTCCCTCCCTCCCTCCCTCCCTCCCTCCCTCCCTCCCTCTCCTCCTCCTCCTCCTCCTCTGGCCACCGCGTTGGGGCTCCCGTGCTCGCCGTGGAACTCGGCGCCGAGCGAGGAGGGCCCGACGCGGGAGAGGAGCCCGCCGCGCAGCTGGCCACGAGGCGGGCTCTGCTGGTGCCACGTCTTCCCGCAGGTCATGTGCAGTGAAGGCATTGAGTAAGGAACCACTGGATCAGGAATTCAGGGCCTGGAAGCCAGTGGAACTCCAATCGTGCATCGGCCATGGATACCACTGCCGACCTCATCAGATAAGGAATCCTCCATGGTCTGAAGCCTCCTGGGCACGTTCGTTGACGAACGCACCCCGCCGTAGTGTTAAGTCGGGCGTGTCCCTGCAGGGGGATTGTGGACGACAAATGAACAATACTCAAACAAATACTCAAACATAGCAAATCAAATACTCGAAAATTCATCCCCAGACTATTTTTACTATCTTTGCATGTTCCTCCTGTAGAGGGACACGCCCGACTTAAATGCAGTGTTGGATCTGGCCGCTGCCTCCACCAGCGCCGCGGCCGAGGTGGCAGGGACGCTTGTCGTGCAGGACGTGCAGGTCATGCAGTGCTGGGGCCGCTGCCTCCACCAGCGCCACAGCCGAGGTGGCAGGGACGCTTCTCGTGCAGGACGTGCAGGTCATGCAGTGCTGGGGCCGCTGTCTTCACCAGCGCCGCAGCCGAGATGGCAGGGACGCTTCTCGTACATGACGAGCGTTCTGTACGAAGTCGCCCATACGCCTGTCAATATCTTGATGGCGGGCCACACGAGCGCGAAGCCGCTTCCAACGAGCAGGAAGATCGTGTGGAACGCCGCCGAGCTGCAGAATACCGATCGTCGCGGGTTCGTCAAAGTCGTCGGTCGGGTACACGCCCTCAGTGTCCAGGTTGGAGTCGTCGCCGATCTCCTCGGGCAGAGTGTCGAAGACGTCCGAGCTAACGCAACGGGCGCGGGCACGACGTACAGCGGTCTCTTCCGAGAGCAGCAATGCCTGCTGGCGCGCCTCCTCGCTCATGTACGTCGGGCGAGTGAGACGGTGTTCCAGGAACGTACGAGCGATCGGCGTTCTCCCAGGCTTGGCGGCACATCTCGGTGGCGATCCGTCTGCGTTGAAGGCGGGTCACATGCAACAATTGGAAGGCTTCTCGGCCTTTGTGGGCCCCGGAAACGGCAGGGCCGTTTTTTCACCGTTTCCACAGAAATGTCCCTTGAAAATGGAAACGGCAAAAAAACAGCGACCGGAAACGGCAAAAAAACGGCTCCAGGATTGGAACCAGAGCCAGAACCGGTCAAACAACGGCGACGGAACCGGTAAAAAAACGGCGTCGGAACCGGCAAAAAAACGGCAAAACGGAACCGGTAAAAAAACGGCCCTGTCGTTTCCAGGGTCCACTAAGTTCTCGGCCCAAGATGTCGTAAAGAACTTCTGCACACCAGCTCATCCAGTTGGCCTCGTTGTTGATCTGGAGGTTGTCGAGGGAAATGTCACGTAGCCATTGCAACTCATAGGTTACACCACATCGGAGGAGGAGGAGGCGCAGGAGGAGGAGGAGGAGGAGGAGGAAGAGGGGATGCATAGGGAATGAACATGAGAGAAAGAGAGAGAGAGAGGAGACGGCATGATAGCATGGTGAATGATAGAAGAGGGAGGGGGGCGGCAGGGACAGGGAGAAGGGAGAAGGATGACAAGAAGGGAGGGAGGGATGGAGGGATGAGATAGGAGCCATGACGAAGGAGGCAAGATATGGAAGGGTGATGATGAAAAAGAATGGCCAGGGACAGTTAGGGGACAGCAAGCAGGAGGGAGGAAGGGAGGGTATAACAATGCTCGGAAGAGGGAATGAGAAGAAAGGAGGAGCGGGGAGAAGGATGAGAGAGGAGAAAAAGGATGAGGAGCATCAGCAGGATCAAGAATGCGATCAAGGATGAAGAGGGAGAGGGCGGGGTAGGAGGAGGGATCATGAGAACGAGAAGGGTGAGACCTGATCTGGGTGCAGCGCGGCCCGGGCCTCTGGCCGAACCCACGCAGTCAACCCGCTGACTGCCACGAGCCAGCTAGATGCACAGCACATCGAAGCAAAAACATGAGATTCAGGCGGGCACATGAATTGCAAGGTGGCCCGTTCACAGGCCAGAAATGGCAACATCGCAAACATCACACGGCCCAGGAGGCCACATGAACTGCAAGGTGGCCCTGAGATCCGACGTTGCAACAAGTGAAACCTCGCAACACAGTCGCGACCGAAGCCCCGGACCCCATCTGTCCGCGTTATTGTCCGAGCCTCGTCGATATGTGAGGGGGCCCCGGGGCCAAACATCGGGCGAAAGCGCCCTTTGCAACAAAAGCTGCAACGCCAGGAGCTCAGGGGCGGACCAGGGGCGGGCGGCGTCGCGTGCAGGAGTGCGCCACCTTTCTCGGAGCTTCCCCCCCGGCGGTGCCACGGGGCGCTCCCCACGAGGCGGGCCGCTGCTCCCCTGGGGGGAGGCCCCCCCCCCCCCCCCGAGGACGCCCCCCGACCCTCCAGAACCTCCAACAGACACCCCCAAAAGCGCCCGCATCCCCACTCGATCCTCGAACCTCGGTCCTCGGGATCGGCGGCGAGCGACGGGGGGGGCGAGAACGGGGCGGGCCTTCTCAGGAGGCTCGGGAGTCTCCCGCCCTCGCGCCCTCCTGGGACATGCTGTAAGCCTTCCCCCGGAAGGCGCGGGAAGCTTCTCGGGAGGCGCGGGGGCTCCTGAGAAGCCCCGCCGCCTTCTGAGAAGCCATTCGCCTTCTCGCTTCCCCCCCTCGCTCGCCGCCGACAGAAGGTGTAGACTCGTCCTCGGTGGTGACCCGCCCTGGTACCGCCCGAGCTTGGCGGCGCCCAGCAGGGGTGGGCGCGAGGGGGGCGGACTTCTAGAAGGGGGGGCGGCGGGGCCTCTGGAAGGCAGGGGGGGGGCGCTTCTTAGAAGCCCGCCTGGCTTCTGAGAAGCCTTCTCAGAAGCATCCAGCCCAAGAGGGCCCCTGCCTTCTAAGACGCCCCTCTGCCTGCTTAGTATACTGGGCGCCTCGACAAGGGCACCAACACCAACTCAGAGGGGGCCTCCAGGGGGAGAGGATCCTAGATGTTGCTGGTGGCGCCGTCATCTTTCAGCCGCACCGGAAACCCTAACGTTACCACCATCACCGAGGTCGGGCTCATCTTCCCCCGATGGAAGCACAATGCCGATCTTAGCTGCCCCGGTACGCAACACGCAACACGTCGCGTGCTGATGCGGAACTCAATGCGTAGACTGAACATGTAGGTCTGGCGCGACACCTTCGCAAGAACGTGGACCGAGACGTGCCGAACCAACACGCAGCGTGTCAACACGGACGTCTTGAACAGGGCACGTGCTGGGTACGAAGACGGGCGTATCGAGGCGGCTAAGCTGCCGACGTTGGTGCCGGTGCCGACCCCTAGGCCTCCGTTGGTAAGCCGCCCCCCTGGTGCCACCCCGTTTTTTTTCGGCGACGGCCACGAGCCCGGCCGTGTGCAGCAGCGCCTGGCCCATGGGCACACACGCTGGTGAGGACGACTTGACGTCGGCGACACGCAAGGGTGTTGGCCCCAGGCAAGAGTGACCTCTGGTGCGCGGCTTCGGGTGGGCGCCAGGGGGGGGGGCGGGCCAAACCCAAGCGCGCGGGCCGCTGCCATCGCATCGATTTCGGCGATCGGGGGACCCCAGTGTGCCCGCACCGAAGGTCACTCTGGCAGAAGATCGCTCTTACTCGGGCTGGGCGAAAGGGGGGGATAGCAGAAGGGGGGGGGAGAATCAGCTCGCGTAGCTGACTTTCCCGGCGCCTCCCGGCGCCGGAGGCGGCTATGTATCGAGGAATGGGCCCCTCGGTGGGGCCGAAAACAGCTGCATGCAGCAAATTTCGTAACCCACCCTTTCCACATCCCCCCCCTTTCGTCTGGCCCGACTTACGTGCAGCCGCCGATGACAGCAATCCTTGTCAAGTCCCTACTGCTCACCGCGGCCTGCCGCGCTTTTACCACTGGCAGAGGTTGGGTGCACAGGCCGATGCGGCCACACCGCCGCCGGGCGGGGCGCCTGCACGCGCCGGTTCAAAGAGGCTCACGCGAAGGTCTGGAAAGATGCCGCCGGCAGGCGGAGGCCAGGGTCCCCGGCTGGCCCGCGCCTCCCGCGGGCCCTCAGCTTGTCCGCGAGGAGGGCCTGGGCGCTGGGAGGAAGAGCGAGGGGCGAGGAGGACGAGGAGGACGCGGAGGGGCGAGGAGCAGCGAGCGAGCGAGCACCAGATACGCGCGTGCGCCACGTGGGTGCCCGCACGCGCTTGTGGCGTGGCGCTGGAGGACGTAGCCTCCAGCCGCCGAGCGAAGAGCGAGAAGGAGAGATGAGGACAGCGGGGGAGCCGAGTCGGGGCTGGCGGCGGGAGGCAGGGCAAAGGGATGGGAGTGAGGAGGACGACGATGGTGAGGGAGAGCGGGAGGAGAACGGTAAGGAGGACGATGATGGTGGTGATGATGATGATGATGATGATGATGATGATGATGATGATGATGATGATGATGATGATGATGAGGAGGAGGAGGAGGAGGAGGAGGAGGAGGAGAAGGGCGAGGAGGAGGAGTCCTAGGAGAAGAAGGAGGAGGAGGAGGAGAAGGAGGAGAAGGAGGAGGATGAGTCCTAGGAGGAGGAGTCCTGGGAGGAGGAGTCCTAGGAGGAGGAGGAGCCCTAGCAGGAGGAGGAGTCCTAGGAGGAGGAGGAGGAGGAGGAGGAGGAGGAGGAGGAGGAGGAGGAGGAGGGAGGAGGAGGAGGGGAAGGAAACCGACGAAGAGGACGAGGAGGATCGAGGAGGAGCGCCCGTGGAGGGAGGGAGGTGGACAACGAGAGGGGGGTTGAGCAGGCGGAGCATGGCAGGACCACGAGGAACGGCGGAGGCAGCGCCCCACGGAGCGTTTGGCCCGCCCGCCGACGGCCGCACACGGGGCCGAGCGCACGCGCCGCGCGCGCGAGGCCACGGAGGCACGGGGAGCGCAGCGGCGAAGGGCGGGGGGGCAGCCTCGTGCTCGGCCAGGAAGCCCATCATCTCGGCGGTCTGCCGCTGCACCTCCTTGTTGAGCAGGGGCCGACCGCCCCGGCATTCGCACAGGCCCACCGCGACATGCTCTCCCCGAAATGGTCTGAGCACAAAAACAGTGCTTTCTGAGAACATAAACCCGGTGTCGTAAAAGAAGACAGTCCCGATCAGGACTGCTCTGAGAACACTCCGTGGAAACCACGAGAGGTTCTTGGAACATTACTCGGTGGGCCTGTAGGAAAGCCGGCACGCTTCGCCACCGCTTGACCTTGAGGCTCGCGATGTCCTCCTGGAGCGCCCGCAGCTCGTGCCGGGGCGACGGCGCCGCGGGCGCCGGCTCCGCCGGGGCCGGGCAGGGCAGCCCCCGGAGGTCCAGCGCGGTCACCGCCGCGCCGTGGGAGGGTCCTGGGCGGGAGGGGCGAGGGGCGAGGGTCAGGAGAGGAAAAAACACACAGACACAATCAATCCTCGATTTTCCAGAAAATATGGGAAAATATGGGAAGTGGGGGGGAAGACAGAAACCCAGAAAATATGGGAAAATATGGGGAATATTTCTATTTGTGTGTATTTATTTGTGTGTCCTGGAGCCCCTTCAGAGGGGCGGGGGCAGGCGGCAGCAGGAGCACTGCCCTGGACGCACGAGAGGCGCGCAGTGTCGACGGGCCAGTCGATGCGACGGCCAACCTGGGGAAGACCGTGCTGATGATCGTTGGGGCCGAGGCAGGACCCCCCGTCGAGACGCCGAGCGCGGCAGCGCCACACGAGTGGCACTCGTGCGCGCGGGAGCCACCCGTGCCCACCACCACGGTGCCCGGCCAAGGGCCGCCCTGGCCTCCGGCAAATGGGGTGTGCGCCTTTCCTGGCGGGAGCCGGCCTGCACGCCGTCCTGGAGCACGGGGTGGCCCGGTGGCCCCGGCCTGGCACGCGCGTCCCTTCTGAAGAACAAAGCGGGAGATCAGAAGCGCAGTGGGCTCTGGTAGCGGCCAGGCCCTTTCCCTGTCCGCTCTGACCTCTGACCCATAGAACTGCCTCTTGCCCATGAAAGCGGCGAACAAACGGTTCACCGACAAAGTCAAAGAACGGTTCACCGAAACGGCCTGGGCAGTCTGAGGATCCGAAGAACGTTCGGAACCAAATTCGAAAACGGCTCGGATCAGGTAGAACAACTGTGATCTGCACTAGGCCCCCACCGAGGGAAACCAAAACGGGATAACATAGGCGCAGGACACGTCAACCACTGCAGAAAACACGTAAAAACAAACAACACAGCTGCCGCTTCCAGGTCCCGCTACAACCCTGCTTGGAGTTGAGGAACAGTTCAAGGCCAAGAACATGGCCGCCACTCCGCGCCTCCTCTTGAGCAGCAGGCCAGGTCCACAGGCAAGACCGCTCCACGACAACCGAGGAACTCCAAGAAAACGCCCGGGGCCCAGTCCAGACTCTTGATCTGGTTTTTCAGGCGACATCTGGGGTCCATGAAAACTGGCGCGTTTTCTCAAGACGCCCAGGATGGGTGTCAGCGACGGGCGCCGCGCCAACGGCTTCGGCCTCGGAGGCCCCAGCCACGGACCTCCGGGGGGCCGGCGCGGGGGCCGACGGCCCGAGCCCACGCTCCTCTGCGCCGAAGCGCGCGGCAGGAGGCAGTCCGCACCCGCGCGCTCCGGCGGTCGGGGCAGCGGCAAGCGCAAAGGAACCGGCGGCAGGAGAAGGGAAGGACGGGCGAGCGCGGCCGCGGGGGAGGAGAGGAGGAGGAGGAGGAGGATGAGGAGGAGAAGGAGGAGGAGGAGGAGGAGGAGGAGGAGGAGGGAAAAGGGAGGGAAGGAGGTGGAGGAGGTAGGAGGTAGGAGGTAGGAGTAGGGTAGGAGGTGGAGGAGGAGGAGGAGGAGGAGGATGAGGAGAGGAGGAGGGAGGACGGAGGAGGGAGGAGAGGAGGAGGAGGAGGAGGGAAAAGAGGAGGAAGGGAGGAGGAGGAGGTAGGAGGTAGGAGGAAGGAGGAGGAGAGGAGGAGGAGGAGGAGGAGAGGAGGAGGGAGGAGGAGGAGGAGGAGGAGGAGAGGAGAGGAGGAGGAGGAGGAGGAGGAGGGCGACGGGGAGGGCACTCGCACGGCGAGGTGCGCCGCCGTGGAGCGGCCGGGGCGGCTCCCCGCGGCCGGTCCCGCGCAAAAGAGGGTGCAGAGAATGCCCAGGTGGCCCAATGCAGTAGAGGGCTGTCGCACCGCCGACGGGGGCGGGGGGGCTCGGGGGGAGAGGGCACGCAGGGTGCGCCAGTCTCCCCCCAGGGGCGGCTCGGTGCGGAGACGGAGGTGGGCACGCCTGCGACGACGACGACGACGACGAGGACGACGACGAGCGTCGTCGACGAGGACGACGACGAGGCCGACGACGATGGCAAAGTCGACGACGACCACGACTGCCCGCCCGCCAGCCCCACCGCTCCTTCCCATCCTATTCCGTCATATTATTGCCTTAGTATCCTTCTTCTTCCTCTTACGATTCTTCTTCTTCTTCTTCTTATTATTATTATTATTACTCTTCTTCTTCATCTTCGGCTCCGATTATTAATATTATTATTGTTATTATTATTATTACCATTATTATTATTAGTAGTATTATTATTATTACTATTAGTATTAGTATTATTATTATTACTACTAGTATTATTATTATTATTATTATTCGCCTCCGATTCTCATCCCGCCTTTGCTGCCTTTTCCGCCGCCGCCTCCTCCTCCTCCTCTTCCTCCTCGTCCACCGCCCGCTGTGAACCTGCTGGCGCGCGCCCCGGCAGCACAGACCCCCCTCCCGCCCTCGGTGGTCCTCAGAGCGTCGCCTATCGCCCGCCGACGTGCGCGTTTGCCCGCCGACGCCCCCCTGGTGCGACGCAGGCGGCGCCACGGGGGCACGACGCGTGCCGCGCGCCTCCGGTGGAGCCGAACGGGTGGGACGGCAGTTTCGCGTCGTGAGGGCATCGGCGTCGGCTTCCGACACCGCGCGGATCGCTTTCTGTTTAATCACACTTGTTTGTCACACTTATTTTTGTTTCACACTTGTTTTTTGATCACCCTTGTTTGTTTATCACGCTTGTTCTTTATCGCACTTGTTTTTTATCACACTTGTGGTTTATCACACTTGTTCGAACAATCGGCGGCTTCTCGATCGCCAGATCGTGCCATATGAACCGATTCTGGGCCGCTGGCGGGCGTGCCATGAACGCCAGCGGCGGGGTCGCCGCCGCGTCGGCGCGACACGAACATGCGCACCGTCAACGCACACTGGGCCGAGACACTTCCTGAGGATCGTGGGCCCCTTCTCCTTTCCAACGACCGGGTCGGGGCCGCGCACAAGATGGCCCCATAGACGTATCACAGGATGGCCCGCTCAGGCCCCCGTCGCAGAGCGCTCGGCGCTCCACTCGGCGCAGCCGCGGGGGGCTGGTGAACGTGTTCGTATTCGGCGTTGCGATATTGGGCGGAAGAGGGGTGGGAGGGGAGGGGGGGGGGTCTGGCTACGGACCTCTGCCTGCTGCGACTGTTTGCAACAGTGCGTCCGATGGGGGAGACCCCTCGTGCTTGAAACAGGCGCCCAAAACACCCAAGATCTGCTCCATGGGGGGGGGGAGAGAAGGGGGGGTTGCGAAGGCCCGCGCAGACCGGCAAAGCAAACAATAAGAACCTGAAACACCTGGGGACCCAGACCCCCGACGCCACGACTTTTTCGTTACGCGACCCCCAGAAGTCTGGACCTCTTCGCCGGCACCGGTTTTTCATCCCGAGTCGTTCTTTTGACGGTCTCGAGAGCCGGTAAGGGCCTCCGAAGGCCGAAAATGTAGAAAAACCTTCCGTCGTGCTTCTTTCATGACTCAAAAGTTCCTGGGGAGGCAGCGCGGGCGCCCGACGCCCGCCGGGGCTGATTTTTTTGGGGGGGGCAGCTGCCGCGCGGCCGCCGGCCTTCTCGGTCCCCCCCGCGGCTTCGGAGCGGGGGCGTGAGGAGAAGAAGGGGTGGAGGGCGAGGAGGGGCGAGCAGGATGAGGACGAGCAGGAGGAGGAGGAAGAGGAGGAGGAGGAGAAGGAGGAGGAGGAAGAGGAGAAGGGGAAGACTTCTTCCTCCTCCGCCTCCTCCTTCTTCTCCTCCTCCTCCTCCTCCATCCCTTCTCGCCATGCATTAGTCATCCCTGTCGCATCCCCAGACGTGTCGGGATGGCGGGCCGGGCGTTGCGGGTTAGACTTCCGCACCGCATCTAACCCTGAAGCTTTTGACAGTGACAACACTTTCACGGATGGAGGGCGGTTCGTTTTCAAACAGTGGCTCTTGCCTTAGCGCCGCGCGCTTTCGTCTCGAACGTTTGTGGCACTTTCACAGATGGGGGTCGGCTCGCTTTCGAAATGTGGCTGTCGCCTCAGCACCGCACGCATTGGTTTTGAACATTTGCAATTTGTTCACGGATGTAAGGCGGCTCGCTTTCACAAAATGTGGCTCTCGCCTGAGCGCCGCGCACATTCGTACTGGAATGGCGCAGCAGCTTCAAACACGGAGGGCCGCTCCGAATCAAAATGTAGCTCTCGCTTGAGCGCCGAGGACTCCGTCGTAAAGTCTACCATTGTTTCAAGGATCCTTGGGGGTAAAGTCCCAGGAGTGGGGTTATGGTACCATTTAGGTTTGTAGGGATGGCATAATATAGCTGATTCGCGGCGGTGAAGTCTCACGAATGGTGTTCAGGCACGGTTTCGGATTGCCAGGGCACAACAGTCACGTTGATTCGCGGCGTTGAGTTCCGAGGAATTGCTTTTTGGCACGACTGCGGATTCGCAGTAGGCAGTATTTCACTGGGGCATGTCCTGCAATGCACCAGGAGTGAGATTCTTGTTAGGGCTCATGAAAAGGAAACTTGGAAGGAGGTTGTGTTGCCACATCGTTAATGCGTCCTGGGTCTACACTGACCCTCCTCTTCCTCCTCTTCCTCATCCTCCCTCCCCGTCGCCAGAAGAGACTGGGGCAATGACGAGCGCGGCCGAGGGACCGCCTCCGCCTCGATGTGCCGCGGAGGGTGCCGACCAAGACTCCGCGCTCACCCCCCGCCCTTCGGCGAGTGTCCTGCCCGCCGCCGCCGCGCTTCCGCCAGGATGCCCCGGCGAAACGCCAGACGCACGACGTGCCTGCGCACGGCCCGGGGCAACCCGGGGTACTTCCTCCGGTTCTTCTCGCATATGTGCATGAAGTCCGCGGCCGGCAGCATCAGCACCTGGCGCGCCATCCGACCGCGGGCCCCCCCACCTACCTACACCGATCTTGGCGAGGATCACCCTGGGTCCAAGAGGAGGAGAAGGAGGAAAAGGAGGAGGAGGAGGAGGAGGAGGAGGAGGAGGACGAAGAGAAGGAGGAGGGAAAGGAGGAGGAGCAGGAGGGAAAAGAGGGAGGAGGAGGAGGAGGAGGAGGAGGAGGAGGAGGAGGAGGAGGAGGAGGAGGAGGAGGAGGAGGAGGAGGAGGAGGAGGGGGGGGGGAGGAGGAGGAGGAGGAGGGAGGAGGAGGAGGAGGAGAGGAGGAGGAAGAGGAGGAGGAGGAGGAGAAGGAGGAGGAGGAGGAGGAGGAGGAGAGGAGAAGCAGGAGCAGGAGCAGGAGGAGATGGAGGAGGAGAAGAGAAGGAGAGGGGGAGAAGGAGGAGGAGGAGGAGGAGGAACGAGGAGAGAAAGAGGAGGAGGAACGAGGAAGATGAGGAGGCGGAGGAGGAGGAGGAGGAGGAGGAGGAGGAGGAACGAGGAGAAAGAGGAAGAGGAGGAGGAACGAGGAAGATGAGGAGGAGGCGGAGGGGGAGAAGAAGGAGGAGGAGGAGGAGGAGGAGGAGGAGGAGGAGGAGGAGAAGGGAAAGGAGGAGGAGGACGCGGAAGAGGAGGATGAGGAGGGGGGGGAGGAGGAGGAGGAGGAGAGGAGGAGGAGGAGGAGGAGGAGGAGGAGGAGGAGGAGGAGGAGGAGGAGGAGGAGGAGGAAGGGAAAGGAGGAGGAGGAGGACGCGGAAGAGGAGGATGAGGAGGGGGAGGAGGAGAAGGAGGGGGAGGAGATGGAGGATTAGGAGGAGGAGGAGGAAGAAGAACACAACAGGCTTCGCACCTAATGTTTGTCTAACGTTAACGTAAGGAGGACGACAAGAGGAGGACGACGAGGAGAAAGAGGATGAGAAGGCTGGGGATCGGTGCATACGCCGTCCTGGCTTGGGCAGGACGGCATATGCCCCGATCCCGGGCGCAGGCAGGCTCGGCCTAGCCAGTATCGGTGTAGGTGGTGATGCTGAGGATGAGGAAGAGGAGAAGGAAGAGAAGGGAAAGGAGGAGGAGGAGGAGCGAGGAGGGCCGAGGAGGAGGAGGAGGAGCGAACGAGGAGGAGGAGGAGGGAGGAGGAGGAGGGGAGGAGAAACCAGGAGGAAAAGGAAGAGGAGGAGGAGAGAACGAGGAGGAACGAGGAGGAACGAGGAGGGGGAGGAGGAGGAGGAGGGGGAGGAGGAGGAGGAGGAGGAGGAGGAGGAGGAGGAGGAGGAGGAGGAGGAGGAGCGAACGAGGAGGAGCGAACGAGGAGGAGTAGGAGAAGGAGGAGGAGAAGGAGGAGGAGAAGGAGGAGGAGGAGGAGGAGGAGCAGCAGCAGCAGCAGCAGGAGCAGCAGCGGGAGCGAGGATCAGCGAGGACCGTCGATGACGAGCGAGAGCGAGGAGTCGGAGCGAGGATCGAGGAGGAGGGGGACCAGCTGTGCCCTCCGACCCCCCGCCGCCCGCAGTCGGGGTGCTGCCAGAGGCGTCCCCGACCCACTGGCGGTGTCCCCACAGGATGTTCGGGGAGGCCCAGATGGGTTCCAGAGCACCCCTCTCGCGAGGCGTGGCGGGCCTCGGAGGCGCCAGAGTGGCGCGCCAAGCTGGGGACGACGTGGGCCAGAGCCACCTCTGGCAGCACCCGCCCGAAGAAGGCCCGGGCGGGCCTCGGGCGGCTCTCGGCGAGGGAGCTGGCCGCGCGCAGCATGGGGGGCCCGGGTCCGTCCGCCATCGAATGCCCACAGCTCGCCCGTCCAGGCTCGCCGCGGAGGGCGTCCGCCCTTCCGGGGGGGGTGACCTTGCAGTCGAGGGCGGGACCGAGGCCCCCTTGGCGCTGTGACAAAAAACGGCGGGAAGACGGGACCGAGACCCCCTGGCGCTGCGAACAAAAAATACGCACGACGGAGAGACTCCGTATGTTCTCAAAGTCTGAGGGCCCGCACGGGGCCCCAGGGCCGTCAAAAAACCACTCGGGATGAACAACCGGCCCTGGGGAAAGGTTCTAGACCTCTGGGAGACCAAGTCGTGGGCATGGGGAGTGGTGTCGTGGGAGGCCCCCTACCCTGGGCGGAGGATGAGGAGATGATCGGCCGAACATCCCGCCTCTGACGTGCTGATAGCACCAGCACCCTGGAGGAGTAGGGTCAGGTCGGGCGTGTCCCCCTACAGGCGGAATTTGAGCGAAAAATGGAAACTTGGGAAAATATCCCCAAAATGGTAAGAAAAATCAGAAACAATCGTCCCCAGGCTACTTTTTGACTATGTTTGAACATTCCCCCTGTAGAGGGACAAGCCCGACTTAAGAGTAGGAAGGAGGGCTGTTGTGGCGGTGCTCGTGTTTCCTGGGGAGCCCGGGGGAGGGAGTGGAGCGGGGAGGCGCTCGCCGGCGCGGCTTGACCAGCACGCGTCAGGCAGGTGGCATTGCACTCCAAATGCCTTGCTAATCGACCCCCCCCCTAAAAAACTAGACCCCCCTCCAAACGCGACCTAATAATCTGGACCCCCCTCTTCGACGGGGCGCCTTCTTAAACCAGACCCCCTGAGCTCCAATCCAAAGAAAGCGCCCTAACAAACCGGACCCCCCCAGTTACAAAAAAGGCACCTGAAAAACCGGACCCGGGGGACGATTCATATGGGATTCGGAGCAGTGTCTGACAGCGTGCCAAAAGCGCAGTGAAGCCTGCAAGAAAGCGGGCAGGCGAGCCCCGGCCCGTTCCCGGACCCGAGAGGGCGACGAAAACGGCGCCATGACGGAGAAAGCTGTCGACCTCCAACACCAAAACAAGGTCCCCAGCTTCAGTGGCAACTCATGGGAGCCTCCCATACCATCTTGTCGGCTCTTGCGAACCGACGCTGGTCGAAACTGAATCGACGCTACTCGACGCTAAGTCGACACTAATCGACGCAAACCGACGCTGAAGACGAATTGAAAGAGTATACCAGGCGCCCATGATGTGCTACCAAATCCACCCCCCTCCACCTCCACGTAGCTCAGGGACAACGTGCTGACGGGCGCCAAGAGCGTGCTGTCGGACAGCACGAAGTCCTCTCCCCAGACCGCGCCGGGGCTCTTGACCCCAGCATCGCGCATGGCGAGGCCAGTTCTCAAGATGTATAACACATGCGGCTTGCCGAAATGTTCCTGAGGCGTGGCCATAAGAAGGAAGGGGAATTTTCCGATGATGGCCTCTGCATGCTCATCATCTGAAGGCCCGTTTCGGGCCCGAGGACAGTCAAAGCTCGATCCACGATTGGAAATCTGCCAGGATGGACCCGGGAGGGATTCAGGGATTGATGATTGATCATGTGCCTCCGACGCGAACATGTGAAACTGCAAAGCCATAGACATTTCCAGCACGAAGGAAGGCACGTCGGTAAACGGCACCTCGTTGTTCTTGATCGCATCGTTGATGACGTCATCGATTCTGGCCCCGGCGAAGAAATCCCGGAGGAAAACTATATTTGCGAGCCAGACCGCGTTTGTCATCATGGATACCTGGCCCTGCAGCCCATGACTCAGCTCGGACACCAGCTCCCACTGCTGCGTATACCGCTGGACACTCTTAGTGGACAGGAAGAAACGGCGCAACTTCCACCTCATGCCCGTAGGTATGCCGCGCTCGTGCATCATGGAGTTGACCTGATCGAGCATGTCGTAGTACTGCTGCTGCATCTGGCCCATGTTCGCGACGATGCACGTGACCTGACCGATGATGTACGCCCAGCACACCCCCGACACCAGCAGGA